ATGGGAAAGGATATTCACCCGATACCCATCTGATAAGGGGTTGATAACAAGGATATACAAAGTACTGGTTGAACTCCACAAGAAGAAAACATCCAACCCCATCAAAAATGATGTGATGAAATGAACAGAAACATTCTCAAAGAAGAAATCCAAATGGCTAAAAGGCACATGAGAAAATTGTCATGGTTTCTTCTTTAGCAAAGGTAGTTTTCTAGTCCACTATTCTCCAACAGCATAATACCTCAGAGCATCTTACTGCAAGAATTCAGAAATCATGTATGCTAACGGCTACCATATTAGATAGATTGGATAGCACAGAACATTTCTGCCAGTATAGAATGTAGCACTGAACAAGGCAGTTCCATACTGACAAACTTTCCCTTTGGCAAACTATTCTGATAGAAAGTCAGTTTTCCCTCATGGGAAGGGGGGCGTTCCGGTCCGTCCTTCACGCTCTACTGAGGTCACCAGTTGCCCCCCGCGAGTGGCTCTCCAGCACAGCCACAGCCCCAGAAGCACAAGGACTTAATGCAGAACCCGGCAGCTTGGAGCAGAAAAGTGAATGGACTATGTGTTAATCTAGGCCATCAAGTCTGCCGGAGGGGAAAGGGTGTTGCCCCATTCGCCCTCTCTTCTCTGGAAAGAAGGATGGCGGCAGCATGGGAGCCTTGTGGACAGCAGGTATGAGCCGGGGGTGTGGGGGCGACTAAAACCTCAAGGGAAGGGGGGCGTTCTGGTTCGTCCTTCACGCCCTACCGAGGTCACCAGTTGCCCCCCATGAGCGGCTCTCCAGCACGGCCACAGCCCCAGAAGCACAAGGACTTAATGCAGAACCCAGCATCTTGGAGCAGAAAAGTGAAAGGACTATGCGTTAATCCAGGCCATCATGTCTGCCCGGAGGGGAAAGGGTGTTGGTCCCTTCCGCCCTCCTCCATCTGGAAAGAAAGATGGCAGCCACATGGGAGCCTTGTGGACAGCAGGTATGAGCCTGGGGTGTGGGGGGGGGGACTAAAACCTCATGGGAAGGGGGGCGTTCCGGTCTGTCCTTCACGCCCTACCGAGGTCACCAGTTGCCCCCCATGAGCAGCTCTCCAGCACGGCCACGACTCCAGAGCACAGAAACCAATTTCTTAACTATCTGACTTTCAGTAGAAATACTTCCAGGGTCAATAAGTAAAATAGCAGAAATCCAAAACCAACATTTAATTCTTGAACCCAGCTGTAGAAAGCAAATCACTTCACAATGCTTTTTCAGCATGTCTGATTTGGGAGGGGGGGTAAACTCTAAATAATAGTGGTGAATCTTTTATTGAAACAATGAATCTAATCAAAGCAGATAGAGTGTTAACTAGAATTCATCTGCCTCACAGGGACGGGGAGGGGTGGGGGTGGGGTTTTATTGGGGTTCTTCATGGTAAAAAATAAGTATTGATAAAGGGAAATGTGTTTGATATTTGCATGACTGAGACCTAAACCTGAAAGCTTTGTAACCTTTCCCACAGTGATTCAATAAATAAATAAATAAATAAATTTAAAAAAAAAGAAAGTCAGTTTTCACAGGAGCTTTGAGTGGACCCATTTCACATAAATGTAAATATAAATATATGGTACCAAGTAAGAGTTCAAAGGTTTTCTGGTGGGATGCGGACACACCTGGCAGTGCTCAGAGCTTACTCTTGGCTCTGTGCTCAAGGCAGACGCAGGGCACCATATGAAATGCCAGAAATCAAACCCAGGTTGGCCAAGGACAAGGCAAGCACCCTAACCACTGTATTATCTCTTCAGTCTGAGTTCAAAGATTTTGGTTTCCTAATTTTTCTACACTGAAAATGCACTTTAGAGGCTAAAATTAATCAAAGTTCATGCTACAAGCAAGTTAGTAGTTGATAAACAATTTTAAGAACAATATCATGGGTCCAGATCTATAAATACTCTATTTCCTTTATATGTACATTGTAGCTCATTAGTGGTCTGAATATTCAGAACTTGACCACAACTACCATCTCCTCGTCCCTAAATTCCCTTGAATTACACATTGATTTTTATCATAAGTCCATTTTCTGCTGGCTTATTGCATCACATCCATTTAACAAAGGTGGAAGCATAGGCAAGGAATTTTGTGTTTTGCATGATATATGTGCACAAAGGGTACACATCAAAGAAAGCCAAACTAAATGGCTTAAAGTGCATTTGTTTATCAGGTCTTATTTTATTGCTAATTCCATCTATATCTAACATCTAACAGGGAACAGGCTGGACATGTTCATAAAAAGTCTACAAACCAAAGTATTGAGAGAGTGATATTTTAACAAGGCATTCATAAAGCAGATAACAGAATAATGGAGCTGACAAATACCAGAGAGCTTTCAGTGAATTGGATGTCACATTATTGCTTCAAAAGTGAGAAAACTTCAGTTGTGAGTGTGTAGTGCCACACTGCTGCCCGATGCATGGAATCAGGATCAGGACCCAGCTCCAGGTCTCTGGGACACCTTGTGTTTGATCTCTCAAGGAACATGAAGGTGGTGGGTAGAAGGGGAACTGGAGCTAGGCAAGAGGGGGCAGAGAAGTTGTTCTCTTAGATGGCAGGAGACTAGTCCTGGCACCTGGCTAACTTCTTGGCCATCTTGTCACTCTCTTGCATAAGAAATGCCCTTTCTTCTCACCCTGCTCCAGCACTAGTCCCTCTAGTTTCCAAATTACCACTTCCCAGCGACCCTGGTGCCCAGGCAATGGGATGTCAGGACCCAGAGCACAGGCAGCCGCTTATGGTTAATTCACCTTCTTTGCCTCTGTATAATTTCTTCCTCATGAAAGCTTCAAGGTCTCCAACCCCTTTTCTCAAATGGATCTAAGCACTTATGCTGAGAATTTATAGTTGTCACTTTAGGGGTTGGTCAATAGCCTGGAAAGGGAAAATGAACTTTAGCCTTTAAATGATCAAAGACAGTGCTGGAGCAATAGTACAGCAGGTAGGGCATTTGCCTTGCACGTGGTTGATCCAGGTTCGATTCCCAGCATCCCATATATTCCCCGGAGTACCGCCAGGAGTAAATCCTTAGTGCAGAGCCAGGAGTAAGCCCTGTGCATCGCCAGGTGTGACCCCCCAAAGCAATATATATATATATGATCAAAAGACATCTATAATAATAATAATAATAGTAATAATAATAATAGAGTCTGGCTGTCCTTGCTGGGGCACCTTGGAGGAGAGTGGGTTGAGTTTCCCTCCCTGCCCCGACCAGGGCTCCGGTAGCCGAAGACCTCCAGAACCAGCCACCGAGACCACTCTCCACACGCATGAATGTACCGGCCGAGGAACAAAGGCATGTGGGTCCCGGGGCTGAGCTCTCCAAGCCTGCTCGGATTGGGGCTGAGCATCGTCCACCCAGATCCTCCAAATAATAATAATAGTTTCTTAAAAAAAGGAAGTTTTCAATTAGCAATAATCGGGCTGGAGCGATAGCACAGGGGCTGGAGCGACAGCACAGCGGTAGGGCATTTGCCTTGCACGCAGCCAACATGGTCGACCCGAGTTCGATTCCTCTGCCCCTCTCAGAGAGCCTGGCAAGCTACCGAGAGTATCTCGCCCGCACGGCAGAGCCTGGCAAGCCCCCCGTGACGTATTCGATATGCCAAACACAGTAACAACAAAGTCTCCAATGGAGACGTTACTGGGCCCGCTCGAGCAAATCGATGATCAACAGGAGGGTCTTTACTTTTTACTTTTTTAAAAAAGGAAGAAGCAAAAGATGTGCATATTAGAAAAAAAGAAACAGAAAATCTAATACACTTCTATGTGTTAGAATAAACTCAATAGGAATAGACTATGTAATCTGAAATAATTGAACATAAATAGAATAGGGGTGGGAATACGGGGTGCAGGCTTGCACAATCTTTCTTCCATGGTGTGGTAGGGTTTAGTATGCCAACATCTGGCTCTGTGGAGACTGAAGTGGCTCTGTTCTGCTACCTTCACAGTGGATTTGTGTCAGCTGAAGTCCTTCGAGCAATCTTCCCCTCACAAAAGGATTCCTGTAAACTCGTTGTAAAATCTCTATACCATAGAAGATCCTGTCAGGAATAGAAAGGTTCCCCAGACCCTTGAACACTGAAATGCAGCACCCCAAATTGAATGACTGCACGGAAGAAAAGAAAAGAAAGATCTCTATGCATATGGCACCCCCCCCACCCCCCCGCTATTCTGGAGAGATACTGCTGGGGTTCTTTGAAAATGGCTGTTAAGGTGCCGCTGAGTTGGCCAGGAGCAAGAGGGGCAGCAGCAACACACATCCCTACTGCCTCTCTCAGCAGTGACAGGATTTCCTCAATATTCACAACACAATGACAATAGCTACCAGCTCATCCCGTGCATGCTCAGGGAAGAGCCAAATACCTTCTATTCCAGCATTTGGCAAAGACATCTGCTAATAGAGTCTATTCAATTAAAACAATGGAAGTGAGAAACGCCGTTTGCCCAAGCAGAAGAAGTGTTCATGGGAATTCTGTCAGCTAGAATTCTGAATGAAAATGATGCTAAAACTTTCATGTGGGATACAAATAATGAATTTTAAAAATGTCTGTTAAACCAGATACACGGACAATTGGGGCCACTGGCATGTTTGCCTGGAGCATTTGACTGTTGATACATTGTCTCATTTTTTGATTAATTTCTCAGGGTTTCAGGGGCTCTGTGTGCATTAGTACTAGTTTTTCATGAAGACAATGGTGGTGTAATCATGAACAGGCAGCCAATAGTACTGGTAAGAATATTTTGGTAGATTGCAAAAGAAACTCTCACTGGTGTTGACTGCCATAAAAGTTACAAGAGGCGGATAGATTGTTGAGAGCATGTAGGATGCCTGGGTTCCATTCCTAGAACTGCTCATCCCACAAGCCCGGGGAGTAATTTCTAAACAATGAGACAGGAGTAGCCCAGGAACAATACAGGCATGGTCCCAAATCAAAACAAATACTTAACAAAGATGATATATTATTCACCTCTTCAATATCAAGAGGCTAGATATAATGACTTGTATATTTTATTTTTACTTTACATGCGTTGTTAAAAACCCAAAGTACATATTATTTACACATCCACAATACAAGTTTACAAGATATCTATACATGTTAAAGTACTCTATAAAACAGTATAGAGCCACTTCACTTTAGGGTTACTTTTTATGCCGTACCATTAAAAAAGATACAATCTGTGTTTACCTTTGCACAAATGGATAAAGCATTTAAAAATTAAATTAACAGGATAGAGACTAGATTTTTATGTTAGAAATGTCAACATAAATACTGATAGAACTCACATTACAAACTACAAGGCAGCACAATGTTACAAAATGTTATCCGGGATGACATAGAGTTACTGTTCCATTTTCCCCACGCCGGGATTAATATTGGTAAGGTGAATTCAAACACGCTTGTCGGCGATGGGCTGAGTATTGTTTATCGTTGGTTGGTTTAATTTATTATTAATCTGTAATATTTTAGTTGCAAAGCTGAGGTGCTTCAAGAACAGAAGTTTGAGCTTTCTGAGCTTCCACAGATCTCAGGGAATCATGTTCGTTATAAAACAATATTCTCAAAGGAAAAGAATAACTGTCTCAGTATTCTACATTCTGTATCAAAATGCTCTGGTCTCTGCAACCCATCCTCCCCCAAGTAATGTGTATCATCAGCGTTATCACAAGGATTCAGTTGAACTTACTTGTCTGACTGAGTCGGGAGCATTCCTCTGCCTTGATACTTTCTGATTAGGTTCAATAAACCATGGCGTGGTGTGCAGCACATTAACTGAAACAGTCGCTGGTTTGCACATCATCAATTGTAAGTGGTTTCTGCAAACTATGCATAAATGACTCTAGATGGTTTCCGCAGGTGTCACATTACCCAGGACACCTCATTTGACTTCACATTATCACCGTGTCATCCTCAGGAAAGCTGGAGTGGAATGTTTATCATGGCAAAGGATAGAATGCTGCTATTTTGAGTGGATTCTTTTACAATTAATTGTTCTAGGTTGGTATTTTTTGTTTGTTTGTTTTTAAATGATCGTTTTAAAGTCTTTTCAGGTGCTGGTTGAAAAACATTTACAACTGGCACTCAATAAGGATGTGCTCTACTGAAAACACTTGACATACTTTTGAGTACTTCTATCATTCTCATGAATAAGGCACAAAATGCACAGATTCAGGTAAACTCACATGTAATATTTACAGTATATTGTCATTACCTGCATGACTTAGGAGAGAATTCTTACATAACACAACTAAAACAAGATTGCACCTCTGGTAAGTTTCCATAGACAGTTTCAGTTAAGCCAATTAGGATTTCGTTCACATTTCTGTTTTGTTGTCTTTTGTTTAGTTTTTATCTTGGGGTTGGAGAAATTAAAACAAAAGAAACTATACTACATGGGGGGGAGACAATCAAAATAAAACCTTATTAGAGTGACTAAGGTTAAATATGGTGACTCAGCTGGATTCACAGTGGACGGGTAGTTTTACTACTGAATACTGGTAGACAAACCAAGGATACCTCTTTTAATATCTCTATTTCCTTAAGCTGGCAAGACTGTAATAGAAGTGTTAATGAATAGCAGCACAAAATTACTTAGAATTCTTACATTCTGCCACTGGGTACCATGTAAGTCAATCATTTTGATGGTCAAATCAGCCTCGATTTTATTTCCTTCTCAGAGTTGTATGCATGGACTGTGGGGGATGGGGGTAGTTACTGTCTCTTGTTCAGTCATGCTCAATGTAAACAAATCCATAGCACAGAAAAATGCAATGGGAACCTAAATAAATTCTAGTGGGAACAGACCATGCATGCGTACACACACGCATGCACACACATGTGCGCACACACACACACACACACACACACATGTACACACCACAGTTCATTGGTGGCATGAAAAAAATGCCACACATGAAAAAAAATGCTACAGTTTGGGTCAAAGACTGAATTCTTAGCAAATTGTTTGGTAATCTACAAGTTTGAGACATTACCTTTTTTTTTTTGACATTTGTGCAAGAGGCAAGGTGAATGCATACATAAAAAAATGTTCACATTTAATGGGAAGACCACACATAATGGCAGTCTAAGTGGAACCCATTTTCAAGTATTTACTAACAGATTCTTCTGAATACTCTATCAGCTCTTTACACTGGTATGGTGCCCCTCAGAGCTCCATATCTCTTCAACTTCAAACAAAAGAAATGGAATGACCAGCACCTTCCTTTGTTTTCAGACAAGTACACAGAAGCCTTGCTGTAGTAGCTACATGTGGCAAGTTCTGGTGTTGCCAAAGTTAGGAAGAGTTTCTTTGGCCACTTGGTTCTCTTAAAATATGAGGGAGTCTCTTGTCTTAAGGTACCCATACAACAGCATCCTCTCACAACACGGACAGAATAAAGCCACATGGAGGAATAGCACACTTGAGGCCTAGTATGTATACTTGTTCAGTGGTCTGACAGATGTGGTTTGAGGAACAAATGAAGGCTTTGGCGGCACATCGGGTTTTAAGGACGGTGTCCTCTTTAGTCCCGTCCGAGGAAGAGTGCCGTTACTGGTGTAGCTGCTCTGTCTAGAGAGGGAAGGCTGCAGATGAACACTCACTGGTGCTCCCTGAATATAGTCCACCTTAGCCCCTGTGGGGGTGGGCATGTACCCGCCACGGTTCATACTAGGCTGTCTAGATAACAACACCCCATTGGGTGAGCTTAAGTTTTTAGGCAGCGCAGATATTGAGTGCCTTTGGGAGGAATTTTTATGATATCCCCTTTGTCTTTCCAGAGAAGTCATTGGGACTCCAGGAGTGGTGGGGACATCCACTCGCTTGGTCGGGCTATTTCTGGGTAGAGTTGAAGGAGGAGAGTAGAGGGAAGCCTCCCGGTTGGGGACTTTGGGAGGGACCTCAGACATAGGCCCCACAGGATCCAACATTAAGGTTTGGTGGGCCATTTGAATATCTCCCATGATGGCTTTGGGGTTGCTATTGGGGTCATTGAGATGTTTCAGGAGATCGTTGAGGGTATTTCTGGAATCCACAGAACGCCGGTGGTCTCTCTTACTGGATGACTTTGTAAGAGGATGGTCAATATTCTGAAGCTTCTTTTCGGCTTTGTGAGCATTTGAGTTTGAGAAAGATGTGTTGTAGTCATGTGTAGCATTAGGAAGAACAATGGCACTGGGGATGTGTCCGTGACTTAATGGGGAATGGGGTGGAGGACTAGAAGGGAAGAACTGGGAGGTTTCTTTCCTTGAAGCCCCATGGCTGTGGGTCTTGTCAGAGTGGCTCTTCATGGCCTGAAGTGTCTTCTGGTGAAGCACAGGTGTGGACTCGGGTGTGGGGAGAGCAGCCAGCTCAGGAGGTTGGCCTCGATGGTCCATCACCATGGACTTCGTATCTCCATTGGGTGGCAACTCCTTCCGACTGGTCAGCAGGTTACTATACAACTTGGGGGAATCAATATTCTGTTGATATTCCTTGACTGGACTGTCAAAGAGACCATTAAGTTTGGCAAAACTTCCACTGGAGTCTGTGCATGACTGGGCTGATTCTGCATCCTTATGGATCTTTCTGTTTTTCCGAACAAACATGTCACGATAGCAATACACTGCTACACCTGCAATGAATGCACCCAAAACAAAAGCGGCAAAGACACAGGTGATGAGGACATTCATGTGGACCATTTGGTTGGATTCTCCAGACTGAACTTCCCATCGGACACCTGTAATAGACACACAGGAAAAGTTTGAGTTGGGTGCTACTTGAAAGTATTATTAGCTCGCACATGGCTTCCATTGAGCCAGCACTACCTTCACGTGGTCCTGCTTAGCTTCCAGGGTCAGGCAGATTCTAAAATTCCATTATCTACATTCTTCTATAATTACAATAGGAATCCCAGAGACAAAGATGAGTGCTGCAATTCCAAGGCATCTCTAAGCTTTCTCTGATCTCTGTTAGAGTCTATCTGTTTACCCCAGTTTCATTTTGTTGAGCAATAACATTAGAAAGGTTAAGAGCTTCTACCAGTAAATCGGATATTTACTAAATGGTCAACTTTAAATTTATGACATTTTTGTCTCATGATGTTTTCTTAATTCATAAATTGGGATTAAAGGGTGGCTTGTGGGATCTGGGCATTGTACAATTTGACATAAACATAAAATGTTAAGATAATCCTGCTAATACTGAAGTAGAATAAGAATACATGATTTGTTCACACTCTAAGAGAACCAACTCAGTCACTTTAGCCATATACACACACTTTCATGTTTGCTTTGACTTTTTTTGTTCCATATTGGGATGAAGCACTCTTTAATTGCAAGCTATGAAAAAAAATGCAGACAGTCTATGGAAATATCAATTCTACATATCAGTTAAGTAATATCACTCAAATATCTGGAGGCACTTAAGAAATATTTAAATTAAACTAGAAGACTATAAGAGTGAATTAGTTTGCAGTTTTGCTTTTTAATGCAACCACAGACATCTAACAGTCAAAGAAATGTTAGTGTAAGAGGTCTTCAAGTCTGTTATATGCTAAAAGCACAGCTATCCCAGAATAAAGTAAGTCAGAGTGAATTGGAAGATTCTGTTATTTTCGGTTAGTATTGATGCCTTTGAAAATTAGTTGCTTTTAATCAGTGTTCAGGGTTATTGAACTCAGTCGTGTTATGAAAAACAAAGAAATAAAAGGAGAAAGAAATGGTGTTACTAAAGGAAACAAAGCAGAAAAGATGACTATAAAATTGTTTGCAACAAAAACATATGAAACCAAAATCAACAGATGTAAATAATAAATGACAATGGACTGTCTTAAACACTGATTGGAAACCGGATCCGACCTTTTAGCAAGCACTAAAGAAGAGATTTATTTTTTTCCCAGACTCATATATCTAATAAGTTATCTCAACAGGCAGCTATTTCATAAGTGCTTCTATTGCAGGTTGAAAATGATAGTTATGGACAAGCGCTCTGTTGCATTTTATTGCTTGTGGCATTCAAGCAACTTAGCACCTCACACGTTCCTTTTTTCATATTAGGTTTTGAATTGCGACAAAACAAAAGGCTGAGAGAGGTTCCTAGACAAAACATCTGATATCAGGATATATGCAATTAATGAGTTTTGGCTTTTGATGTTGCTGGGGTGACCCTCGAAATTCTCCTGTAGCCAGCAGACGCTCAGCTTCTTCAGACAGAAACCAACACAGATTAGATTGTCTGAGTGGCTGTTTCACCAACCCTTTCTTTAACAGCTTTCGACTGCTTTCATCTTTTAAAGAATGCACTTCCACAGAACCACAGAACACCGGAGTGACTGATGCAGCCATGGGAGGTGGAGTCTCAGAAGCAAGCAGCTCCCCTTTGGGTTCCCTCCAAATTAATCCTAAGTGCCTAGCCTCCTCAGAGACATGAAGAATCAGGTTTCCACTCAGTGAGACATGAGTTCCCTGACGAGAGGCCTTACCCTTTGGGATACCTGATAAAGGATCAGTAAAATCAGAAGTGTTTGGGTCATCTTGAACTACAAATTTCCGGGAACTCGTCAGTTTAGGCCTCCAGGTATCAATCACCTTAGGTGTGATTTCTGGGATACTTGCCATTGTGGTAACAGAAGATGAAGATACCTCCATGTCTGTGGTGGCAAACAGATTTTTATTAACATGGGAAGTGTCAGCAGATTTTTCTGATGGATCGCTTGCATTTTTTTAACACGAATTTTGAGTTTATGAGAAAGCTTGCTTGTGGATTTTATAGAAACACATCTGAGGAGACGACATCAAATCCCTGTCTAGCCAGAGAAAGCTAAATACTAAGATGAATGGTAAGACATGTTAAGCAGATTTCAGAATTAAAAGACAGTCCAAACACTCCTCCAGAAGCACTTTGTGTGATTAATGGCACTCATGGAAAAGGTAATAATACAGATCCCAAAGATTAAAAATGGCTATTTTCTTTTTCTTTGGGAAGACAAAATACTGATTCTTTGTAGCTGCTTTTATTTGAGGGGTAGTGTGGGGGTCACATTCATTGGTGCCCGGGGCTACTGCTAGCTCTGAACTCTTGGTGGTACGGGGGGGGGGGGTGCATATGTAGTGCCAGGGACTGAACCTGGGTAAGCGGCATGCAAGATAAACTCCTTAACTCCTATACTACACTTCTCAGGTCTTCTGGGTACATTTTCTGAAAAGTACTTTCACAGGTGCGGTGATATGATATAATCTTTACTGGGGTGTCTAGGGGGGAATGTCATGAGGAAATAACCTGGTCAACAATTGACTTTGAACCTGGTAAACCAGTTCTGCTGAAGTGCCTGTCTGGCTTCATCCTAGAGCCCCCATCCTCCTAGAGCCTTCTCACATCTCAGATGGTGCCCTGTCTGTGTTGAAGCACTTAACCTGGTTTGAGACTTCCAAAAGTTCCTGTAGTCTCCCTCATAGAATTAGCCCCAACTCATTCTAGGCTGCATAAGGAGGTCCCGATACAGCAGATTTGCCATCCTTTTCCTTCTACCCTCCCTGGCCGCTCAAAAAATAAAAACTGCTGGTTAGTTTTAGAAGCAGCAACAGGCCTGGGAGTGATTTCCTCTCTCCATATGTCTGTTACTGATTTTCACCCTATAGATATCCCCTCCTCAAAAGGCAAGCATAGGTTTTTAGGTGAAAATGTTCAATGCCCCCAATTCACACAGGTGCCACGGTCACCACTGACTTTTCCAGAACATACACACAGAGGGGGAATGACTGGTCCCCAGAGCACCTTAACTATCAGAAACCCATCTTCATTCAGTGCGACTCTTGTTCACACCACCGAGACCACAACATTCAAAGATTCCCAGTATGGCCGCAAACCACTCAAAAAAGAACTCTAAAATGTATAAATACACATTTTTTTGTGGAAATGTGTATTTGTTTACTAGGTCTTAGGAGAGGTGAGGAGAGAAGGGGAAAATAATGAAATTTTGCCATCCATTGAATGGAGATGGCCAGAGGGAACATTCACAAGGCAAGGAGGTGAGAGAGAAGACAGCTCAGGTGGATGTGCGTGCAGTTGGAATGCGTCTATGTTAACCCGACTGAGTTTTCTGAAAGGATGTGCCTCAGTCAATGATGGGTTGTTAACATGCTACTAAGGGGTGAGGTGCTGAATAAGAAAAAGTCTTTGGGGACTATCAGTGGGGTTATGAGTCAAAGCAGAAAAATGAAGGGCTGCCAAACTGCGCAAAAGGAGGGGAAAAGGGGCTGAAAATGCTGAACTGAAGGAAAGAAAAGGTTGTTAATTCAAAAAAATTAAAAAAAACTAACCAGATGTTGGACCGCCAAATATTTTGTAATCTGGTGTAGCTGAAGTAGGCAAAATTTCTAAAAGAATTAAAGGAACAAGTAATCAGTAAAAAGTAACCAAAAGAAAGCAAAAAATTCCAATTAACTCAAAAAGTCCAAAGGAAAACTGTAAATTAAAAGGTTAACCTCTCTTCGTGAAGACTACTTTTGTCTAGATTTCCTATAAAATTGTAAATGGTGAAGAAACTGAAAAAAATTAAAAATTAAAAAAAAAAGGTTCTCCACTAATGTTACCCCATGACCAAACAGCTCAGCTTTTGCGAAGTTTACGTTAAATGCTAAGGAGTATGTGTCCTGAGTCATTAAAAGGCTGATTGTAAAATAATGTTCACGTGCAAATGCAGTCAAAAAGAAGTGTCAGGAGAGAAACGAAGGCTGGACTTACCATGGCAATCCCCTAGGTGTGCGGTGTTGCCATACTCGGGGTCTTGCTCATACCCTCCAGCTCTGTGGTGAAGAAAAAGCAAAGAAGCCTCCAGTTATCAAGAGGAACACAAGTGACAACCAGATAGAACCAAGAATAAAGATTGATTGGTAAGAGCAGGCAGAGAACATTTTAAAAAGACCTTTTCATGAAAGCTCGTTAAACAGAGTATTTCTGTGAAACATTTTGGTAACTACAATGTGTAAGAGACCAAAAGAATTGTTCTTTCTCTCCATCCATTTCCCTTAGGCTTGTATCTGTCTCCAATCTTCCGTCTCACAGTTGTACCCTGTCTTTATTCATTTTCCCCATCTATGTCTATGTGTATACAGAGAGTGACAGATATGTAAAGAGAGAAACAGAGCAATTGTGTTATGGGAAGTTTGTTTAAAGGTCCAGTTTTCTTAAGTTCTGGAGATGATCTTGGCTAATGTGACTAAATGTACTCACAGTGTCCCTGGCGTCACCCTCCCACAGGTCTCCTGGCTTAACCAGCCACAGTACGGGTCCCGAGAAGCAATACAAGACCTGCAGAAAACCATACAGAGCATGACTTGGATACTCTCATCATCAAAGGTCTTGATGAATTCGGAGCAGGGTATGTGAGTCAGTGTGAACTTACTTTTTACACGATCCATAACGCTCACAGCGACTGAGGGGGATGCGAACTACGCAGCTAGAGAAGGCCACGTACAGGGCATGATGGTCTTTATCCAACTGTAATGAGATGACTTTTCTGTCCTCCTCGTTCTCGGCATTACACCTACATTGTGAGAGACATTGTAAGATCATTCATTTAGTAAGTCAAGAGCTACACACAACCATACAAGACAAATGGGACTTGGGGTTTGCAATTACTAGAAGCTAGGCAATCTTAAGGAATATTCTCAGTAGCAAACCAGTCAGGCACAGAGTTTGAAAAGCAGTAATTATACCATGTGTCTGCTGCTGGTCTGCATGGTTAGTTACATTTCAGGTGGCACAAGGGGGTTCTTGAGATTGTTTTCCTGTTCTGATTATTGAAGGGAACTGTAATTTATGTAAACCATGCAGACATAGGGAAGTAAAAGTGTTATATTTAATTACGTTTATTTGTTTTGCTCATATGGTGGTGGTAGCGGGATTTGGCCAGATCTAGCAGTGCTCAGAGGCTATTCCTAGCTCTATGCTCAGAGACCAGGGCTGGTGGAGCTCAGGGAACACTAAGAATCACCAGGGATCTAAACTTGGCTACATGCAAGGAAAGTGTCTTATTTTTTAACTTAAAAATTATTTTGTTTTGTAAAACTGATTTAGGTAGGGTTTTTGGCCATACCTGGTGATACTCAAAGGTTACTCCTGGTTCTTCACTCAGGAATCACTCCCTGTGCTGCACAGGGGACCACATGGGATGACAGTGATTGAACCCGGGTCAGCTGGATGCAAAGTACCTACTGTACTATCTCTCTGGCCCTGCAAGGCATGTGTCTTGACCCCTGTTCTGTCTTTCTAGCCTTAAATGCATTTAAAATATTTCTGTGTTAAACATTCTGGGTCTTAAGTTTTTTTTACTCCATTCCTCTCCTCTATTTTTCATTTGTTTTAATGGTTCAAAAATAAATCTATCAAAGGGACCACTATGACAATGAGAGTTGGAAATCATTACTCTGGACAAAAATTGCTGCCACTGTCACTGTGCTCCCGTTGTTCATCGAGTTGCTCGAGCGGGTCCAGTAATGTCTCCATTGTGACAATTGTTATTATGTTTGGCATATCAAATACGTCACAGGTAGCTTGCCAGGCTTTGCTGTGTGGGCGAGATACTCTTGGTAGCTTGCCGGGCTCTCTGAGAGGGGCGAAGGAATTGAACTCGGGTCGGCCATTCGGCCATGCTGGCTGTGTGCAAGGCAAATGCCCTACCTGCTGTGCTATCTCTCCAGCCCAATTGAATGCTAAAGTAGATAAAGGGATATACATGATGACCATAACTCTGAACAAAGAGGGGGAGAGAGAGAGAGAGAGAGAGAGAGAGAGAGAGAGAGAGAGAGAGAGAGAGAGAGAGAGAGCAGATAGAGAGAAGAGAGGGAGAGAGAAGAAAAGTTCTTGCTGTATACATATTGGAGGTAGCAGTGGGGTGGAAGGAGGGAAAGTGGGGACAATGGTGGTGGGAAATGTATACTGGTGAAGGGAAAGGTGTTGGACACTGAATGATATAAACCAAAACATAAAGAACTTTGTAATTGTGTATTTCGTGCTGGTTTAATAATTAAAAACAATTTTAAAAAATTTCTCTATTAGTAATTGGAAGAAAATGCTTAACTAGAAGTATATTCTGTGTGATTATGTGTATATGTGTGTTTTTGAAAGAGAGAGAGAGAGAGAGAGAGAGAGAGAAAGTGAGAGATAGCATGTGTGAGAGAAAGTACAACCATCTGTGCTGCATGTGGCATCCTGAAATCTGCCAGGTAAAGAAAGTGTGCTAAAATGTTTCTCATTGTCCACAGGTGACAAATGAAACTTGAATTATTTTGAAACCCATCCACTGCCCAGTTTTCTAGCCACAGCAGACACAGGAAAACAATAAACGCAGGATTCATTTCCGTGAGGAAGAAAAAAATAACCTAAAATGCTAATATGACTAACCACTGCTAATTCAGAGGACTGCAAGGAAATGACTAGATAAAAATGCAGTCCGGAAATTTTGAGTAGTGCTGAAGAGCGTTCTCGTAAAATATACCTACTTTGCATGGTTGTAGGCTTCAATCTCTTCCAGTAATACGCTGTCATTCAAAGAAAAAGGACTGGTCTTTGCCAAAACTTTAAGTACCACACCAGCCTCCGAGCCAACGAAGATGACTGTGTAGTTCTGGTGGGGTCCTGCTGTATGGTCCACCGCAATGGCTGTGAGTCTGTACCTACCAGAGCAGGTGGGAGAGCATGTCAGAGATGGGCAGGCAACAGGAGGAGGAGAGGTAGAGTGGAGTATGGCTGGCGTTTGCAGTGTAGCCATACCTGATCCTGGTCTTTGTGAACCAGGGCTCATCAGCAATGGGGGGTACAGCTGAGTCCATCAGGGGATGCGATTTGATGAAAGACAGGGTTTCATCCGGGAACTCAATAGAGGTTTCATAAGCTTCAGCAAGGCCATGCTTGGCACAGCAACCAGGCCTAAAGGAAGAACATTGTGTCTGACCCCTCACATGTACCAAAGGCATAAAGGAGAGGTCAAAAGAGTGGGGAGAAAGACCAACACCAGCGGAGCAATGCATCTTCATGGAAAGAGTTCATGTTTCACTTTTGGCTCCAGGGGTTCTGTTTCCCGACTTTCTGCCTCTACACAGGACCCCCTCACAGTGCTGGGAGGTTGACCAAGCTGCTTTCTGAGAATGCATGCTTCCAGAAATCAAAGGGATTTGTTAAAAGTAAAAGCCCTTTCAATCTCTCTCTCTCTCTCTCTCTTTACCTTGGCTTTGGTACTTTGTCTTCGGGGACTGCTGTCCAAACAGAATCTGGAGTTTTCTGTTCTTTAAACCGGCCTTTGAATACTTTTTCAATGTCATCCATGCTAAATGCACAGACTGCAGAGCCAGGAATGCTGAAAAAAGAGGGAAGCCATGAGCAAGCCACCAGGCCACTGTGGGCAAGCAGAGAGGCCTTTTGAAGTGCCAGGGAGTTGTTCTCACCTGTTGAGCTGTGTGGTAAACACCCCGACCACAGTGGGGATGCCATTGATTTGTATTATGTCTGTGATAGACTGCAGAACATCAAAGTAGAAAAAGGAATCTCCAGGGACAGAACAGTTCAGCCGTGCCTTCAGAAAGGAAGTCCAGTGTTTCTCCAGGACCCGCTGGGAGCCCCCCATGTCGTTTTTACATATGCGGGCAACACGGGAATATACAGCCTGCCAAAAGTAAAAGCAGAGCCACTGTTAGGAGCACAGAGGAGGACCGGAAACAAAAGGCTGCTATTTGAGGGAGGTGGAAAAAGAAGAAAGAAAAAAGTGTTGAAGATAAGTAACTCAAAAGACTCTAACAGCTTTCTCTCTAGGGGTCTATACAGTAGCAAGGAAAACTGGATGCACCCAGGCAAGAAATAAAGGGCTATTTCCTGTTCTCCCAAACAAGTGCCCCAAGAAGTGAGCTAGTAAACCTCTTAGCTGAATGGAAACCATTGTCACACTCATTTCACTTCTCCTATTGTTGATGAAATGTGTCATCCTTACACTTGGCATAGAAAGTTTGGTGTACTTAAAATTCACATAGGAGCTTTGATGAATGCACTAAAAACTGAACCCTTATATTTCATCATTTAAAGACTGAGTACAAAAAGCTATTTATGAATGTCTTAATAGTTAAAGTGCCACCTATAGCTAAGGGTGCCTGTAGAATATTTTCTAAGTAACAATGGAGAAATGACACTCGACACTCAAAGCTGCTGGTCGTTGTTTAATTGTTGAGTGCCGCCCCCTCCCCACACCCCAGCATTTGTTTTCAGAAGCCCCTCACCTCTCCACACCTGGCCTTAAAATACACTGAATTGTATAAAACATACAAAAGCCATAGCTTTACCAAAGTTGGCCCAATTCCATCCCATTCAAGTCCACAATCTAAGTCAAGCACGTTACTTGCCTTGCCTAAATTATTATGTTCTACAGCAATTTCTCGGAAGAAGAAATAGACATAGTTTCCATATTCTATGGCATGAAGAAAGTGCGGTTCTGAAAGAAAAATGGGAAACAAACTGATTGCTAAGGGATCATTCATTAGCCTGAGACCCTGACTTCAAGGTATGATGGACAGATATCACCCAGGTATATTCAAGCCTACAAGGACACATCTAAGCCAGCTCATTGAAGAGACCTGCTATGGGTATGCTGAAGCTTCAGGGAACCCATAGACTTTAATGTCAGCTAATGGACTGTAAAAAAAGGCCTACAGGGAACTGAACTACAGCAAAGGTCTTTGTTTCAACTGATTTATTCATTAACCTATTTAACTAGGGAGGAAAAGGACTTAGGTTGAGGGAAAAAAAATAAAAAAAGAACTGTGATTTCTGGACACCAAAGAAGAAAATGACTCTATAGATATGAATGGATTGTTTCTGCCAGCACAGACATATGGACAAGGATGTCTACAGAGTTAAGCTAATTGGTGTTCACACTCTGTCTCTCTGTCTCTCTCTTTCTCTCTCTCTCTCCCTCTCTCTGACAGAAGAAAATCTAGGTGAAACTACCTTCCTACCAGAACTCCTTGACATGTCCCCTTACCATCCTTTGATGTTTTCCTTCACAAACAAAGAAGGTTATAGTTGCTCTAAGCAAACAACATTGAAGTCTGGCACTGACTCTCTCAATCCATGGTACCCAGGCCATCCCACCACCCTTGTTGATTTCAACTTTGCTCTACAAAGATACCTTTTATCCATTTGGAATCATATTTTATTGTGCGCAGAGCAGATCCATCACCCATGCTTCGATAAATAACTGCATCACTAGCCAAGAAGTCAGCTACTGTGGCAGAGTACAACTTCCCATCTGAAACCAAAGTTATAATTTGGATCAAATAACCAAAATTATCCAGTTGTGTGTTATCCTAGGTGGTGTGTTACACCCAATATAATACTTTTGCCTATGTTATTGATATTGACACCAAAAAAAAAAACCCTAAAAAACTGACACCTGGAATCAACCTGTGACAGGTTGGTCTATGGTATTACCTGATTCTACAGATGACGGATCAAAGCATCATAAAGGCAAGCAATTTACTCAGGGTCACTGGCTTAGTAAACAACAGAGACAAGTATCAGAAAACTTGTATTAGCCTCACTTTTAATTCCTCGTTTTTTTTTAAAAGATATTTGCAGCTTTTAGTCCTTTGAAATATCTGTATCAAGATAGCTATTCTACTTATACAACTTGCCTGCACCTTTTATGCTTTTTTGGGGGGAGGGGGGTCATACCTGGCGATGCACAGGGGTTACTCCTGGCTCTGCACTCATGAATTACCCCTGGCGGTGCTCAGAGGACCATATGGGATGCTGGGAATCGAATCCAGGTTGGCTGCATGCAAGGCAAACGCCCTATCCGCTGTGCTATTGCTCCAGCCCCCCTGCACCCTTTAAATTCCTTTTTGCACCTTCAATGTCATTACTCATTACTCATTTATATTCATTACACTAAAAGATCTTACCAGCAAAAAGGGCAACATTGGTTTGTCTGGCATCAAATGGGCATCTTGCCAGGCCACTAATTTCTTCCCCATCATACTCTAAGGTACTCAACTACAAAAGAAGAATAAAAAGGTAGTGTCACATCTGTTCAATGTACCTGTTTGAAGGCAACACTGCTTTATTTGTACCCAAATTCTATTCAAAGTGTACTGTCTTTATTCTTCCATCACATTTTAGAGATAAAATAAATTACTAGGATACAGCATAGAGGATTCAACTCTAACAGCATGCCAGCAAATGAGGAGAAGCTGATTTTTTTAAAAGGCATATCATACAAAATATACTCACTCTATAGTATCTACACATGGGATTAAAGGCATTGGTACCACACACAAAAACCATCTCATCATTTCTTGGGACAAATACTTTAATAAAGTTGTGGCATTCATCCTAAAGAAAACAACAAGTACGTAAACATTAGCTATGCTTCATGCTGACACTGTGGGATCAAGAGCAAATAAAGATCACATCTAGCAGGCACAGGTCTGTTGTACTCACTTTGTGTTTGCCTTTCATTGCACAGTTTTCTCGATCCTGTTGTCTGGATCGCCATGTCAGTTTCTATGTTAATTAAGCAAAGCCGAAGTTCAGTTTTTAACTATGAAAGGTTTTGGAGGGGAGGGGGGTCATTATTCAAGTTCTGGGGGAATGCAAATCAGTTTGCCAAGTATACTTCCTCACCTTGCTTGGGATCACTTCTGTTTTGGGAATTTCATTTAAGTTGACTGTATAAACTTGATCCCTGTTGGGGGGGGGGGGGGGGAAATGATGGTAAGTCATAGATGTGAATGCATAAAAATGTGAAGGCAGCTGCTGGTTTTATTTTTACAAAGCTGCCTTTATTGTGTTTTGAAGATCATTTGGATTTTCTCTGTCTCACAGAAAGTCAACAATGAGAAGTTTTTCATTAGTGAGATCCTATTCTATATCGCCGTGGTTAGGGAGTAGAGAGCTCTTCTCTTCAGGCATGGGTCAAACTGCTACCTGGTATTAGCATAGACATGCATCTAATATTTGCTTGAACAGTTCCAAGTTAAAAGAGAATAAAGATTTTTCCCCCCTGCTGCTTTAGGAATAAAGCATGGTGTATGATTTCTTGATGGCAGTAATAAAACTGCACTGCTGAATCCTTTTAGCTCTGTATTTTGTTCCTGATACACACAACCCTGACTTCTCGGTGAATATTTTTGGCTACTTGCAATTTTTGATCACAATCACATATTAGTTTTTCATGAACTAGACACATTAATGCAAGCGCCACAAGAGAAAAGAATTTTAATCTAATAAACCAATGAGAGGAAAATTACCTGCCAGCAATATAGAGTGTGTCTCGAATTTTCAACATCAGCTGAAAGTCCAGCCTGTGCTGTGATTCATTGCCTGAAGGGCGTCCTCTAAAAACCGGATATTGCCTTGAATCTGCAAGTAAAAATGGGCTAAACCATCAGTCAGGATTATGGAGCTAAAGAATCAATATACAGCATTGATTAGCTGTATATACTAGTTGTAGAAGGGTTTTAACTAAATTCTTCTCCTAAGGTCTTGAATATAAATGAATAAAAGATGGTGAATGTCATCAACTGGTCTTTTCCTTTTCATTTAAAATAGCTAACCTATGTATGGGCTGCTTTAGAAAACCACTCAACAAAACTGTTCCATTTTCTACAAACACTAGGAAATGATTATGGGTAAATTAATATGCAAAACAGTGAAAGGGATCTAAAACTCTCTTTCTGAAAATGAATATGCTTGCAAAATCAAAACCAGAAATGATTTCTTCTGAGAAAAGGAGAAAGTTGTTTCTATTACTTACAGTGATAATCTACGGTATTAAGGGGTTCATCATCTTCAGGAAAGCTGACTGCCCTCAGTTGGGAAATCATCAGGAGCAGCATGTAGGCACAAAGCAGGAAGAACCTCATGGTGCAGCAAGATGAAGGCAGAGAAGCCCCTCCTTAGAAAGCCCACTTAGCTACCTGGAAAACAGACATAGTTTGGAAAGATCACAGTGCTAAGAGGAAGCTGTTTTCTCATTTGTAAGCAGCTCCACTTCAACGCCAGCCCTCTCCAGTGCTTCCTGCACCCTTCCAAGCAAGAGCCAGGACAGGGGTGGAAGAGCTATCTCTAAAAACTCAGGAAAAAACCACGGCAGCCTGCCAGGACTGACGAAAGCATCTGCTGAGCATATTGAAGCTTTAGGCAAATTTGCAAGAGTTTTTGAGGTAGCTATGTATGTCATCGTCACAAAATCACCAGAACCACAAACACAATGCTGGCTGCTGACTTGGCAAGAAGATGTGCAAAGTTGGGATTAGAATTTTAATTAAACCCCAATCTGCTTCCCTTCCTCCAGCCATGAAGTAAATCCAGTATGGTTCCTCTCTGGCCCCCATAAAATGCCAAAGCTGCCTTACGTGTATCTGAGGAACCAAAAGGCCTGTCACCCCTCAACTGATCTTTGCTTAAGACATGGCCAAATTTTGCATCTTTACCCAACCCTTAGCTCTAAATGCATTAGCAGACCAGTTCCTTAAACGTATCAAGTCTAATATGAAAGCAATGACCTGAATAACCTTGAATCAGGGAATAAAAAGAAATAAATAATTTAACTCTCACAGGGAATAAAAAGAAATGAAATAATTTAACCATCAATTAGTCCAGGAAGCAAGCCACGTTTGGCAGAGATGAAGCTGGATAACTGATTATATATATATATATGTATATATATATATATATACATACATATATATGTGTGTGTGTGTGTGTGTGTGTACTTTTTTTTTTTGTCTACCCCTGGCAGTGCTCAGGGCTTACTCTTGGCTCTACACTCAACTATTACTCTGGTTGGACTGGAGGGATCCATATGAGGTGCTGGGAATTGAACTCAGGTTAGGCTAGTCCCCAATCAGTTGTACTATTTCTCTGTTCCTTGGGGAAAAGCATAGATTTGCATTAAACAACTTAGGCAAATGCCTTACCCACTGTACTATTGCTCTGGCCCCACATTAAACGATTTAGAAACAAACCAGTACCTTGAGTATGAATGTTCTCTTAGCTCTACTGAACTTTAGAGCTGTAAGGGACCTTAGGGACCAACTAGTCCAACTCCTTCATTTTTTTAGATGAGAAAACTAAGAACTGGAAAAATAAAGAGACTCAGTGAATTTCATGTAGCTATTTAGGGCAAGACCAGACTTCTGGTCTGAGTTACCATTCAGGTTCTTTCCATCAAATTGAATGAATAAAGAAATTAAATGACTGAGTCATTTCTTTTCCTTTCTTCAAAAATAAAGCATTACAAAACTCAATTTTTTGGAGTAATGGATATAATCATTATCTTTATTGAAGTGATGTTTCACAGGTGCATGCATATTTATCAAATTGTCCATTAAAAATGTGCAGCGTATTGTACATTAATATCTAAACAAGACAACTGTAAAATATTGTCAAAAATTATAAATATTTGCAAGTTATTTATTTTAAAATACAGCTATAGGACCTGGGAGACAGTACTGACAGTAGGGTGCTCACCTTGCATGCAGCCAATCTTAGTTCTATCCCTAGCACCCCATATGGTCTCTGAGCCCACCAGAAGTGATCACTGAGCTCAGGGCCAGAAGTAATCCCTGAGCACAGCCAGATATTGCCCAAAACCAAAAATAAAATTCAATAAAATAAAACTACTTAGAACCTCTCTGGGCTAAGAGGTCACAAACTGTTTTTGTGAGCTTGTAAATTCTCCACTTTGCAACAATACCAGCCTTTCCTCAACACAAACTGTGACTGTGTGGGCAGTAAAACATTAATCTGTAGCTCTAGTTTCACATACCTAGGAACTTTAGGGGTTATTATAAGAATCAGTTCAAATTTTGGTGTGTGTGTGTGTGTGTGTGTGTGTGTGTGTGTGTGTGTGTGTGTGAGTCATCTAACCACTCAATTAGGTACCTACAATGACTCATCTCTTTTTTGTCTGTTTTTTTTTTTAGTCACACCCAGCATTTTTCAGGGTTTAATCCTGGCTCTGTGCTCAGGGTTCACTCCTGATAAGCTCAGGGGACCGTCCCTGGTACTGAGAAAAGAATCCAGGTTGGCCGTGTGCAAAGCAAATGCCTTATCTACCTGTTTTTTATTGTTGTTAGTTATTGTGGTGGTCATATCCAGCATAATGAGAACCACCAGAGTATCTCTAGATGGTTCTTGAGGGACCTAGTGGTACTGGGGCTCAAACTCAGGGTTTTACACATTCACTCTCTATCATTTGAACCACTTGGGAACCTCTTATATCTTCTTGATGTCAAATTCACAGAAGCACATTGTTCTATGCAATGCTCTTAATATATATTTTTCTTTTCTTTTCTTTTCTTTTCTTTTCTTTCTTTTTTTTAATTAGTGAAACACCATGAGGTACAGTTGTAGACTTACAAACTTTCATGCTTGGGTTTCAGTTATACAATGATCGAGTACCCATCCCTCCACCAGTGCCCATTCTCCACCACCAATGATCCCAGTAGCCCTCCCACTCCCCATCCTTTCCCCCCAACCCACCACACCTCTGTGGCAGGGCATTCCCTTTTGCTCACTCTCTCCTTTAGGGTGTTGCAGTTTGCAATAGAGGTATTGAGTGACCATCGTGTTCAGTTTATATTCTACTTTCAGCACTCATCTTGCATCCCTAGCAAGTCCTCTAAACATCCTTTGCTTGGTATTCCCTTTTCTATCTGAGCTGCCTTTTCCCCTAGCATGTGCTGCCAGCTTCCAAGCCGTGGAGCAGATCTCCTGGTACTTATCTCAACTATTCTTGGGTGTTCGACTCCCATTCTGTTACTTTATAGTCCCCAGATGAGTGCAGTCTTTCTATGTCTGTCCCTCTCTTTCTGACTCATTTCACTTAGCATGATATTTTCCATGTAGAACCACTTGTATGTAAATTTCATGACTTCATCTTTTCTAATAGCTGCATAGTATTCCATTGTGTAGACGTACCAAAGTTTCTTTAACCAGGTAAAGTAAAGGCCCTCCCGTAGTTCGTCGATTTGCTCGAGCAGGCCCAGTAACGTCTCCATTGGAGACTTTGTTGTTACTGTGTCTGGCTTATTAAATACGTCACGGGGAACTTGCCAGGCACTGCCGTGCGGGCGAGATACTCTCGGTAGCTTGCCGGGCTCTCCGAGAGGGGCGGAGGAATCGAACTCGGGTTGGCCATGTTGGCTGCGTGCAAGGCAAACGCCCTACCGCTGTGCTATCGCTCCAGCCCTTTGTCTGGTTAATTCTTTAACCAGTCATCTTTTTTCAGGCACTTGGGTTTTTTCCAAATTTTGGCTATTATGAACAGTGCAGCAATGAACATATAACTGCAGATGTCATTTCGACTGTACTTTTTTGCCTCTCCGGGATATATTCCCAGGAGTGGTATTGATGGGTCAAATGGAAGCTCAATTTCTAATTTTTTGAGAATCGTCCATGCTGTTTTCCAAAAGGGCTGAACCAGTCGGCATTCCCACCACCAGTGAAGGAGGGTCCCTTTCTCGCCACATCCACGCCAACACCCGTTGCTTCTTTTGGATGTGGGCCAGTCTCTGTGGTGTGAGATATCTCATTGTTGTTTTGATCTGCATATCCCTGATGATTAATGATGTAGAGCATTTCCTCATGTGCCTTTTTGTCATTCGGATTTCTTCTTTGAGAAAGTTTCTGTTCATTTCGTTGCCCCATTTTTTGATGAGGTTGGATGTTTTCTTCTTGTGGAGTTCAACCATTGCTTTGTATATCCTTGATATCAACCCCTTCTCGGATAGGTATTGGGTGAATATCCTTTCCCATTCTGTAGACTGTCTTTGTAATTTGGTCACTGTTTCTTTTGAGGTGCAGAAGCTTTTTAGTTTAAGATTATCCCATTTATCTATCTCAATACACCTTTTTCTAACCAAAGTAAGAACTTAGTTTAGTAAAGAAAGAGACTAATAGTATGAAGTAATAGTGAAATAGCATAGTGGGTAGGACCTTGCACATGGGTTCAATACCAGACACCCTATATGATCCCCTGAGACCCACCAGAAATAAACAATGAGCACCACTGAGTATGGCCCAAACTATTCCCCTTCCCTCCCCAAAAATATTAATAGTAAAACAAAATTTTTGAGTTGATAATTTTGTGTATTTATATTTGAGGGGGAATTGGATCACAACCAGCAGTGCTTAGGCTTTATTCCTGGCTCTGTGCACAGGATCACTCCTGACGGTGGGGTTGACCACATACAAGGAAAGCACTTTACCTCCATGCACTACTTATCTGGCTCTTTAGTGGGTGATTTTAATCCAGTGATTTTTTCTTTTCTTTTCTTTTCTTTTTTTTTAAAGAACTGAATCCTGTACATTATTTGGAAAGACACATTAGAGAAGCAAGTCTGACTTACATTTGAACAATCACTGTCACTGTCCTCCCGTTGTTCATCGATTTGCTAGAGCAGGTACCAGTAACGTCACCATCGTGAGACTTGTTGTTACTGTGTTTGGCATATTGAATACATCATGGGTAGCTTGCCGTGTGGGTAAGATACTCTCGATAGCTTGCTGGGCTCTCCAACAGGGCCAGAGGAATCGAACTTGGGTTGGCCGCTTGCAAGGAAAATGCCCTACCCACTGTGCTATTGCTCCAGCACATTTGAACGATATTTTTCCAAATTCTTAGCTGATTGACTTGGTAAAGGATCTCCACTCTCTCTACTTTTTTTTTTTTTACTATAATATGGGGTAATAAATACCATCTTATTCACAAGCTGAAAAAGAACCAAATGCCGGCACAGACAGATTCTAAGTCAAGTGAATCCTCCTCACTCATTTCCTGTTGTATGCCCTTCCATGAGACCATGGTGGATTTTATAAAGAGTCTAAGTAAGAAAGGCCTGAAAGAAATAGATGTCCAAAAATATTAAGGCCATAAAACCGTATTTAAAATTTTAGAATCCTTGAGCATGCG